ATACAGCACTACTTGGTTACTAATAATCTGTTTCCTCTCCACAGCGTGAGTGTATCTCTGTCCACGTTGGCCAGGCTGGCGTCCAGATGGGTAACACCTGCTGGGAGCTGTACTGTCTGGAACACGGTATCCAGCCCGATGGCCAGATGCCCGACCACAGACCAGTGGGTTGTCATGATGACTCGTTCACCACCTTTTTCAGTGATACTGGGTCTGGGAAATACGTACCTCGTGCCATCTTTGTAGACCTTGAGCCAACGGTCATTGGTAAATATCATCATGGTGTTACATTTAAGGCAACAAGCCATAAGAGGTCATGCATTTGTAAATACATTAAAATCATTGCAGCGCCAATCAGCACTTTGCATCTATAATAGAAAGAAAAAGGGACGGCACACTGTTAAAATGCAATGTTTCAACCATTTTAGTCTTCATCTGGCAGTGAAAAACGTTGCATTTATAAGCAACTGGATAAAAGACAGTGTTCAATTAGTAATTACATTTATTATCACAAACAATGATTTTGCAAACTGATTTCGTATTAATAAACCCCGATAATTGTTTTCAGAGGCATAGGGGTCAAGATCCTTTTTTTTAATATGATTTGTATACGGTTATATTATTAATATTTTGAAATAAAAAAAAATATATTTTCATTTTAATGTTAAAGTTTGAGTAATTTGATAACCGAGCAGAGCGGTCTGTTATATCGAAAATATATAGATTTTTTAAATTAAAATTATTATAAAAAATAATTTGTATTAAATAATTTAAATTAAATGTAACTTAATAAATAATAGTTCATAATATATTATTATAATAATTATTTAATGAAATCTAAATTATTATAATAATATAACCATGAGCAAATCTGGTTTGTATCACTGATAATTAAATGTTATTTTGTTTCCAGAGGTATAGGGGTCAGGATTAGTGCTATTTTAGTATTTATATGCTATTATTGTCACTTTTAGGTTATATAAACACATTAGGAAGAAGATTAATCACAAATCAAGTCTTCACTAGATAATTCATAAGGCAAACACAGAACTAATATACAGGGAACAAGAAAGGGAACAAACTGCTGAACAGAATAACTAATCCAATGAGTAGCCATTGAAACTGATAACGAAACTGACAGGCAGGGAGAAAACAAAGCCAGAAAACAGTCAAACTGACAAAACTGTGACAGTACGCCCCCTCCCTGAAAGGCGCGACCTCGCGCTGACAGTCCCAACGAGGACAGGAGAGGTGACAGGTGAAACCAGGGTGGTGCAGATGGTGGGATGAACCATGGAGAAGCCCGGAGCAGGAGCTAAGTGGCACCCCAGCATCCAGCCAGGGTGAAACCCCACGGCGGTGTCAAAGGAGGGAGGAGCCATGGCTGGGATTTCCTTGACGTGGCCATGAGGACGACTGATGGTGGTAGAGCCTTAGGTGCAGACGGAGAGCAGGGGGACCCAAGCGAACCCTAAGGCTTAAACAGAGGGGCTGACGAAAGGCGCTGGTCAGGAATTAGGTGATTCCAGAAGAGAGGCGGGAGAGGGAGGCCGGGTGGGACCAGCGCAGATGAAGGTAGGCATTCAAAGTCGGGTTGTATCAGTGGGGGCATGGAATCATCCTCTTCCCAAACCCATTGTCCAGAAACCCATGACTCGCCCTCGGTGGCTGTGTAGGTGCCAATTCATCCCCTCGAACTGCACTATAACCTCCTATGGAGGCACACGATGAAGCCGGCTCACACACCTGGTCAGACGTGTACTCGGGCTCAGTCGCTCCTTGCGCTGGCTCTCCGTCTACGGTGGGCTCAGGCGTCGTGTCCATCTCACTGGGTAGTGTCAGGCTGGGCTCTGAGTTGGGAGTGGGGCTGGTGGTGTCCTCCTCAGGACCGATCGTGAACTCCGATTCATTGTTCACCAGCACCCACTCCACATAGGCGGAGAAGTCCTCACAAGGACTGTTCGCTAGCAGGCGTGCCTTCACCTGCTCGCTCAGGCTGGTGTGGAAGAAAACAGTGAGCGAGTCATCCGAATAGTGCACAAGGCATGCCAGATCTAAAAAGTCCTGGGTACAATCCTCCAGCGACCGGTCCATCTGCACCAGGCATAACAGTCTTACTGCCGGCAGATCCATGGGGAAAAAATAACACCCACAAAAACGCCACAACAAAATATTGTCTTGGTCCGGTCTTATGTCACGTTTGGGTTGTATACAAACACACGACGAAGAAGATAAATCACAAATCAAGTCTTCACTAGATGATCAATAAGACAAACACAGAGGAAGGCAGGAACATAGCACAACACGTATACCCTGACGAGACCGGACAACTCACAAATGAATCAAGGGAACTTGTATACAGGGAACAACAAAGGGAACTAATTAGACAACAGCTGAACAGAATAACTAATGAAATGAGTAACCATAGAAACTAATAACGAAACTGACAGGCAGGGAGAAAGCAAAGACAGAAAAACACTCAAAACTGTGACAATTCTAGTATTAATTAATATTAACTATCTTTTGGTTTTTATTTTCATTTTAATGTTAAAGTACTTAAGTACTTTGTAATTATTTTAGTTTTAGGTAACAACACTGTCCAGGATTTGGTGATTTGTTTGCACTAACTTTGTACGGCACCGGTATGTTATTCTTCCAGATGAGGTCCGCACAGGCACCTATCGCCAGCTGTTTCATCCTGAGCAGCTCATCTCAGGCAAAGAAGATGCAGCAAATAACTATGCCCGTGGCCACTACACCATTGGCAAGGAGATCATTGACTCCGTGCTGGACCGCATACGCAAACTGGTAATGTGAAAAAATTGTGTTACATGTACTTGCCAATAAGATCAAAATAACAGAGACTAAAATGCAAGTTCTGTCCCCTCTTCCACACAGGCCGACCAATGCACGGGGTTGCAAGGTTTCCTGGTCTTCCACAGTTTTGGTGGAGGCACAGGCTCAGGTTTCACCTCCCTTCTGATGGAGCGTCTCTCAGTTGACTTTGGAAAGAAGTCCAAGCTAGAGTTTGCCATTTACCCAGCTCCCCAGGTGTCTACGGCTGTGGTGGAGCCATACAACTCCATCCTGACCACCCATACCACCCTCGAGCACTCCGACTGTGCCTTCATGGTGGACAACGAGGCCATCTATGATATCTGCAGGAGGAACCTGGATATCGAGCGCCCGTCCTACACCAACCTCAACCGGCTCATCAGTCAGATTGTTTCCTCCATCACCGCCTCGCTCCGCTTCGACGGCGCCTTGAACGTCGATTTAACAGAGTTCCAGACCAACTTGGTGCCCTACCCTCGCATCCACTTCCCCCTTGCCACATACGCTCCGGTAATCTCCGCCGAGAAGGCCTACCACGAGCAGCTCTCTGTGGCTGAGATCACCAACTCGTGTTTCGAGCCATGCAATCAGATGGTGAAGTGCGATCCACGACACGGAAAATACATGGCCTGCTGTTTGCTGTACAGGGGAGACGTGGTTCCAAAAGACGTCAACGTGGCCATTGCTGCCATCAAGACCAAGAGAAGCATCCAGTTTGTTGACTGGTGTCCCACTGGCTTCAAGGTGGGCATCAACTACCAGCCCCCAACTGTGGTTCCTGGTGGAGATCTAGCCAAAGTGCAAAGAGCGGTGTGCATGCTTAGCAACACCACTGCCATTGCTGAGGCTTGGGCTCGTCTCGACCACAAATTTGACCTGATGTATGCCAAGAGGGCCTTTGTGCACTGGTATGTGGGTGAGGGAATGGAAGAAGGAGAGTTTTCTGAGGCCAGAGAAGACATGGCAGCTCTGGAGAAGGACTACGAAGAAGTGGGCCTTGATTCATTCGAGGAAGAGGAGGAGGGTGAAGAGTACTAAAATGGAAAATTGTTGTTATTTTTCTACCAGAAAAATCTAATAAAATAAAGCTTAACATATGTTGTTGTGGTGGTTCTTTTAATAATTTTGTGACATTGTCAAGTAGTAAAGTACATGCAATTCCTTCCAATACAGAAAATATTTTCGATTGATTAATAATACTTTATAGGCTAATAACTTATTATGGTCTAAATCTTCTGTAAGATATTGGATAATTATTATCAACACTATTTAATCATAAGCTTTTATGCTAATAATTATATTATTTAAATAAATTTAACAATTACCCAATTAAAATGGTGTAAATGTAATCCATGCAAAATGTTTATCTATGGAAAAAGCATTAATATGGCAAATATTAATAATTAAAAATTGTAGTTAGATACATGCTTTTATATCTAGACTTTTTGCCACTTTTTTTAGAGTAACATAAATGGTATGCTTGTATAATAAATATGTGCATTATAAACAAAATCTTAATTTATAGTAATATTAACAATTATATTGATTTTATATATTTATTACCCCAATTTTAATGGGGTATTGGACTACATCATGCTAAACTGTCTTCTGTAATGTTCCAGCATTGTATTTTTTTTATTGTTTAACTGCAGAACAGTAACAACATGCACATAAAGAGGCTCATGGTGTATTCAACTAGTATCTATTACATAATATCATCAAAGGAATCAACAGGAAAAAAATAAAACAAAATATTTAAAAAAATATATGTACAGGGGATAACGTACAATAAATTCCACATGAAAAAGGATACAACAATTATATACATACGTTTTGTTTATTTCTTGCATCTTTTAGGGCTGCAATATAATGCTTTAATTCGATTTTAAATAATATAATGTTAGGTTTATTATTTGCCCATTTCTGTTTGTTTATATGGTATTTTCCATACATAAGTCAATCACCAAATTTGGCTCCAAACTCTTATTTTTATATAACAGAAATTTATCTTTACCAGATAGTTGAATCTTTAATTTTTGAGAGTTTAAATTAAATATTACATATTCAATGTCAATCCAAAACAATTGTGTAAATACATATTCAATGAATACATGTTTTATGGATTCTAGTTTATGCCAGCATTGTATGGGTTAACCCGGCAGCCGTACTTTACGTCACGGTTACGTTTTCTTTGTACACGGAAGAAAAGAAACCAGAGAAATCAGCGGAGGAGGAGGACAAGGAGAGCGTCTCTTCAAGGTAAACAGAGTCTCACTTTAATCCTTCGATTAGATCTATACTGGATGGCTCGATTTCAGCTTCAAGTAACTAGCTAAAACCCTAATCTAAATCTGAATATTATGAGTCTCGCACGCTCAAAACACTGCCTGTGAAACACAAACCAGATATTCTTGAAGAGTCATGCCACGTTTACTGCAGATCGCGATCGATGTGTAGAACATGGATCAGAATGTAGTCATACATTAACGTTACGAATTACGAATTCACTCTATATTCAACGTGTATTTTCCCCAGCAACTCTATCAGGTGTCTATCAAGTCGCATGTGTCAACAGCGCACGTTATAAAGAGCCAATCAGAAAGCTCCGTTCTAGCCGTGAATAATTTATTTTAGTGGAAAATTGGACCCAGGCAGTGGCTTATGTGAACAGGCAGTATTTAATTGGGCTAAATTCTCTTGCTTTTAAAATAAATAATATTTTTATTTATTGGATTTAGTGTCTTTTCTTACGTCGCTTTACAGAAATCAAGAAAAGAGGATATTCTTAAAGGCCTAGTTCACCCCAAAATGCCATAATAATACTCCTATAATTTATAATTTACTGACCATTTTCATTTTTGGGTGAACTAACCCTTTATTTAACCCCAGTTACAGATGTGTGGATATTGAAAATGTTCATAGGGTCATACAGTTGTTGAATATAAATATAAATAATGCAGTATTTATTATAAAATATGCTGTAATTACAACAGATTTTGTCATCAACACATTTTTCATGTATTTCCAGTAGACCAAAACAACAATGCGGCAAAACTACATACTATGCACTCTAGATGAACTTTATATAGCCCTCAGTGTCAGTCCTACACATTGCTCCATTCTTAATATGGAATAGAATAAAGAACAGAACAGATGAATAGGAAATAAAGTAAATTCTGAAAAGAATATGAATGTAAGAAGTAATCAAGCCATGATCTCTTTCAGTGCCTCTCCTCCATCTATGGTTGATCTTAAGCAATGCTCCAAAGAACATGGGACAAGCTTTGTGTATCTGCTCACGCAGTGTCATCACAATTGACAACAAGAGATACTTCTTCATCCAGAAACTAGAAGAAGGGTGAGGCTAAAATGCTTGAAAACGTACTGGAATTGTGAGAGTCCAACAATGTCTCCAAAATATGTTCCATCTTTTGATAATTATGCATGATAATTTTCATCAAAGTGTGCTCAGCAAATTCTCCGCTCCTTCTAGAGGTTTCAGCTATGTTGATCTGGTAGAGGGTGCACAAGATGGACGCTTCTATGCTCTGAAGCGAATCCTTTGCCATGACCGCGAGGCCCGTAAGGAGGCTCAGACCGAGGTGGAGATGCACCGGCTCTTCAGCCACCCTAACATCCTCAGCCTGACCTCACACACCTTCATGGATCGCGGCGGGAAGTGTGAGGCCTGGCTGTTGCTCCCGTACATCAGTGTAAGTGCTCAGTCTGTGTTCTGCTTTTGAGTTCTGAGATGTGCAGTGTTTCACTTGCTGAATTGTTCCTGTGCAGAAGGGAAGTCTGTGGTCCGTTCTTGAGAAGCTGCGGGATAAGGGGAGCTCTATGACTGAGACTCGCATCTTGCACATCCTGCATGGCATCTGTGAAGGCCTCAAAGCAATTCATGACAAAGGCTATGCTCACAGGTACTGACAGTACAATTCATTCATCCTGAACATACATTTATTAAATTAACTCCCGGTTTCACAGACGAGGCTTAAGCCTAGTCCCAGACTAAATGGCATGTTTGAGCTGTTTTAACTGAAAGCAACTTGCACTGATATATCTTAAAATATGCCACTGCCATTGTTTTGTCTCAAGATTCACACCAATAATGAATTTTTGTATTTATTTTTTTCCACGTTAATAAAAGCTACTTAAAGGGTTAGTTCACCCAAAAATGAAAATGATGTCATTAATGACTCACCCTCATGTCGTCCCAAGCCCGTAAGACCTCCGTTCATCTTCGGAACACAGTTTAAGATATTTTAGATTTAGTCCGAGAGCTTTCTGTCCCTCCATTGAAAATGTATGTACGGTATACTGTCCTTGTCCAGAAAGGAAATAAAGACATCATCAAAGTAGTCCATGTGACATCAGTGGGTTAGTTAGAATGTTTTGAAGCATCGAAAATACATTTTGGTCCAAAAATAACAAAAACTACGACTTTATTCAGCATTGTATTGTCTTCCGGTTCTGTTGTGGATCCGCGTTCAGTGCCGCTGCTGACGTGTTATCAGAGCTTCGTTTACAGTCTGAGGGAGACGCACGTTGTAAACAAAACAATCTTCGCAAACATGTCTAAGGATTTCCACACAGAGGAAGACTTGCATTTTTTTGCCCAGCCATATTTATTTAAACCCGAATACACGGGCGCACCAGACACACGTCAGCAGCGTCTTACGTCAGCGGCGTCACTGAACGCGGATCCACAACAGAACCAGAATACACACACACACACCAGACACACGTCAGCAGCGTCTTACGTCAGCGGCGTCACTGAACGCGGATCCACAACAGAACCAGAATACACACACACACACACCAGACACACGTCAGCAGCGTCTTACGTCAGCGGCGTCACTGAACGCGGATCCACAACAGAACCAGAATACACACACACACACCAGACACACGTCAGCAGCGTCTTACGTCAGCGGCGTCACTGAACGCGGATCCACAACAGAACCAGAATACACACACACACACACACCAGACACACGTCAGCAGCGTCTTACGTCAGCGGCGTCACTGAACGCGGATCCACAACAGAACCAGAATACACACACACACACCAGACACACGTCAGCAGCGTCTTACGTCAGCGGCGTCACTGAACGCGGATCCACAACAGAACCAGAATACACACACACACACACCAGACACACGTCAGCAGCGTCTTACGTCAGCAGCGGCACTGAACGCGGATCCACAACAGAACCAGAATACACACACACACACCAGACACACGTCAGCAGCGTCTTACGTCAGCGGCGTCACTGAACGCGGATCCACAACAGAACCAGAATACACACACACACACCAGACACACGTCAGCAGCGTCTTACGTCAGCGGCGTCACTGAACGCGGATCCACAACAGAACCAGAATACACACACACACACACCAGACACACGTCAGCAGCGTCTTACGTCAGCGGCGTCACTGAACGCGGATCCACAACAGAACCAGAATACACACACACACACCAGACACACGTCAGCAGCGTCTTACGTCAGCGGCGTCACTGAACGCGGATCCACAACAGAACCAGAATACACACACACACACACCAGACACACGTCAGCAGCGTCTTACGTCAGCGGCGTCACTGAACGCGGATCCACAACAGAACCAGAATACACACACACACACACACCAGACACACGTCAGCAGCGTCTTACGTCAGCGGCGTCACTGAACGCGGATCCACAACAGAACCAGAATACACACACACACACACACACACACCAGACACACGTCAGCAGCGTCTTACGTCAGCGGCGTCACTGAACGCGGATCCACAACAGAACCAGAATACACACACACACACCAGACACACGTCAGCAGCGTCTTACGTCAGCGGCGTCACTGAACGCGGATCCACAACAGAACCAGAATACACACACACACACACACACACCAGACACACGTCAGCAGCGTCTTACGTCAGCGGCGTCACTGAACGCGGATCCACAACAGAACCGGAATACACACACACACACACACACCAGACACATGTCAGCAGCGTCTTACGTCAGCGGCGTCACTGAACGCGGATCCACAACAGAACCAGAATACACACACACACACACCAGACACACGTCAGCAGCGTCTTACGTCAGCAGCGGCACTGAACGCGGATCCACAACAGAACCAGAATACACACACACACACACCAGACACACGTCAGCAGCGTCTTACGTCAGCGGCGTCACTGAACGCGGATCCACAACAGAACCAGAATACACACACACACACACCAGACACACGTCAGCAGCGTCTTACGTCAGCAGCGGCACTGAACGCGGATCCACAACAGAACCGGAAGACAATACAATGCTGAATAAAGTCGTAGTTTTTGTTATTTTTGGACTTAAATGTATTTTCGATGCTTCAACACACTCTAACTAACCCACTGATGTCACATGGACTACTTTGATGATGTCTTTATTTCCTTTCTGGACAAGGACAGTATACCGTACATACATTTTCAATGGAGGGACAGAAAGCTCTCAGACTAAATCTAAAATATCTTAAACTGTGTCCCGAAGATGAACGGAGGTCTTACGGGCTTGGAACGACATGAGAGCGAGTCATTAATGACATAATTTTAATTTTTGGGTGAACTAACCCTTTAAATGTCCTAATTGAACTAAGGTCGAATCCTGGCTTAATCTAAGCCTTGTCTGTGAAACCGGGCCTATATGTTTAGTTTTGCCTTGGTTCTGCATTGAAGATGGAACATGTAAAGGGATAGTTCACCCAAAAATGAAAATTCTGTCATCATTTACTCACCCTTAAAGGCACACTGTGGAACTTTTCAACCTTTATAATATATTACCAAAACCCATTGAGATGGTACATTGACTTACAATAGGTTGAATGACACGTCTGCTGAAGCCTGACGGTGTCTGTATCGCTTTTACCAGCACTATGTAACTTCGGGTTTCGGGTAGGAACCCGAGCACAAAAAGAACTACAAAATTCGACCGCTTTACGGCATACGTCACTTCCCCCACCACCACAACTTCCTCAAATTATAACGTGAGAGCTCAACTCGCGTTTGATTGCCGGCGTCTGTATGTTGTCGTCATCGCTGAATCAACGGCTACTCGGAAGAAAGCGAAGAAAGCAAAGATTTTGTCAGAGGAGACCAAAAAAAGAAAAAGGGAGAGTTTAAAATAAACATCGGCATAAAAGTGTATATATAATGTAATATTTACTGCAAATTCGTGTAACAAAACTGATATAAGTCACAACATACTGCCATATACAAATGTAAATGTTTTTTTTTTCCTTTCAGCTCATATATGTTTGTATTTGTGTAAAAGGAAAAACAAACTGAAGACTACAAATAACGGAAATATGTAGTGAGTTATATCAGTTTTGTTACACGATTTCATCTCCAACCCATTGCAAAGAGATCCTGAAGACGTGAATTGTTTGCTTCAGGTGTGTTTGATTAGGGTTGGAGATGAACTGTGCAGGACAGACGATCGGCAGGAGCAGGATTGGGCAACCCTTGTCAATGCGACTTACCTGATCAGACATTGTTTTCTGCGTATGCTACTTTTATTCAATTTGTTTTCTTTATAGGATTTATATTATTAATCTTATATTTATATTATTATTTTGGTCAGTAGTGAATCGATTAACTTTCTCCAACATACAAATCAAATGCCATCTGCACACACATAAAGACACTGGAGGTTGACCGGTTGACTGTTTGTTGACTTTTGCGACAATGCTGCGGCGCTTGTGGCCTCTAGGGGCACTAGACGTGAAAATTACAGGTCGAGCGCACCCTAGTGGCCAAAAATTCCACAGTGTGCCTTTAAGTGGTTTCAAACCTGTATGAATTTCTTTATTCTGCTGAACACAAAAGAGGATATTTTGAAGAATGTCTCTAACAAAACAGTTGATGGGCCCCATTGACTTCTATAGTATTTTTTTTTTCTTTGTGTGTGTGTGTGTGTGTGTGTGTGTGTGTGTGTGTGTGTGTGCCATACTATGAAAGTCAATGGGGCTTATCAATTGTTCAACTGTTACCCATATTCTTCAAAATATCTTCTTTTCATTTTGGGGTGAACTATCCCTTTAACTACATTAATGAACATGGACTAACAATGAGCAACTCTTCTACAGCATTTAATAATGTTGTTTTGTAATATTAATTTAAACATTTACTAATAGATAGTTACTTAAATCACCGTGAACAGCATTCATGATAAAAGATGGCCATGTTTAATAAATAAAGAAATGTATTTATAATAATAATAAAAAATAAATAAACAATTCCAGTAATATTTTCATAATGAGCCACTGTCAGTGTCCAATTTCCCACTAAAACAAATTATTTACAGTATATAATGGAGTTTTCTCTTTAAATTCTGCTTATATTTTTTTCTATATTTCTATACTATTATAGTATTTATTAATATTTTGAATTAGCTTGAGTTTTCTCTTTAATTTGTGTAAATTTAGGTGGTTTTGCAATGTGCTTTTGTCATTTTTATTCTTTTTTATATTTCTATTTAGCTTTATTTGTATTATATTTTTCGCTTCAGTCATCTTAGTACTTTAACTTTTTATTTCAGTTAGTTACCAAGGCAACACATTTTTTATCTAATATTTTTTTTTTATTTCCGCTGTTTTTAAAAAAGAAAATGATTTTTAGTATTTTTAGTTAACGAGAACACTGCTGATTCAATCTGATTTTATTGCTGAAATGATACATTTGGCATACTATCAATATTTTATGTAGTATTATGAATCATTTTAGACTTAATAACCACTGAAGAAAAGATGGATTGTCCATCATCCAACATAGACTGAAGACCTGAAGTCAAATAAAAATAGATGAAGATAAATGAAAGTCCCACTTATATGAATCCTAGGCAGACTTTCAATAATAGTTACACCAAAAGAGATGTTATATATAGATATTATATTAGTAGACAACAAAAGCTGACCTGATGCTTAGCTGCTGACAAAAAGTCTCTGGAGGAATATACTGTTTTCAGTCTGAAATATCTGGGTGGTTTTTTCCTGTTCTTATTATTTCTCTAACATGAGTTTTATTTCTGAAAACAGAGATTTGAAACCCACCAACGTTTTACTGGATGAGAACGATCAGCCTTTTTTAATGGACTTGGGCTCCATGAACAAGGCCAGGATTGAAGTTCGAGGGTCACGTGAAGCCATGACCATCCAGGTTAGAGCTGAAATATCAAGCAGCACTTAATCGAGAGTTACCAGTAGCCAGAGCCATAGAGAGAAAGAGTTGCGACACTCCCATAGACCGCCATAGGAACTTTGGAATGCGGAAGTAACGCGTGTCGTGGAGCGGCCGATAGTTCCAAACACTGATAGTTCCAGCATTGAACCCCCTTAATTTTCAGTGCTTCCGAAGTACGCTCGCTGGTAAATTAATGAAATTACTGTATTTTTTTTACTTTTACACACATTAGCCGACCTCTCGTGAATCTAGTCTGTAGTTATATTTTATGTAGCCAGTTTTAGTAAATGTTTATTGGAAGATAATAGGTTAATTGCAGCGATAGCTTACGTGACCAACACTTCACTAACGTTAGCAAACTTACGATAACCTGATGTATATAATATATAATATTTTTAATAATATTTTATATGTATGTATCTATATATATATATATAGCCTATATATAATATTATATACAGTATACATACACACACACACAATTCATTTATTTAAATGGGTTAGGATTATGCATATATGTGCTTATATGTATTTAGGAACATAGTTAATTCACTCATTAACTATCTCTCCGGTTTAATTTTATGAAGAATATTTTTCGGTTGAATATTTACCGAACATTGCTGTATATAGTCGTTCCTTTCTACGTTTTGGTAGCAGTCTATTTCCCTCCTAAATCATTCATTTGTACATGCACAGCATAATTATTTATATTTTATGTTGGTTGGAGTTCTGAACGGACTGCACACCTCTTTGCGTGATCACGAAGGTAGGCTAATGGCTGAATCGGAATTTATAAGCAAGATCACGGGAATCAATAGCCTAATACAGCCCAGTTGTGCTAAAATAAATATCATGAGACGTCCATCATCAGATGAATGACATGGAAAAGTTAAGTTAGAGCCGCTAAAGCCAGTGCTACTACCCATGCGAACATGAACACTAAGCTTTTCCCTCCAAAAATATAGCCTAAAACTTATCTAAGTTGTCACCCTGCCTCTCCAAATGCAAAACTGACATTAACAAAATGCAATAACAGCTTAAAAAGTACTTGGGTGTGTGTTTTATTTTATATCTACCGTTTAATAATGCAATCGCTGCTGTCTGTCCATAGAAGAACATGACAGCCCGCGTATGTTTTGGAACTATTGGGGCTTACATGAACCACGTGACAGCCGTCGCGGCGACATCAAAGCGTGTCGCAACTCTTTCTCTCTATGGCTCTGCCAGTAGCTATGTTTCCATCCAAACTTGTGCGCAAAATTGGAAATATCGCATAAAATATTTGCGAATAAATCGACGTTTCCATCCCATGTGTTCAAGAGAACAAAATTGTCCCTTCCTGGGAAATTGGCGCAAAATATCTGTTATAAAAACGGAAGTTTCTGCAAACGCGCAGACGAAACGCAATGAACCCCATCATGTTATCTTGCGTTCAGATTCCTGGTGTTTGAGAACTCAATCATGTGACACTTCTGGGAGGAAATTAAACCAAATCATTCTGACGACAGACTTTCCCTGCTTCCCAATGTGCATATAGCCATCCTAAATCATATGTGAGATTAATAAGTGTGTCCCAAAGCATAGTATGTTGAAAAGAGTATGCCAAAAGTCCCTGGATGGTCTACTTTTTCCAGTAAATTTTCAGATCCGTGCTCCCTCTTAACGGTTAATATTGCCCACAACCCATTGCGCATTGTAGTTCAGAACTACAAACACCAATAAGAAGTGTTTAAAAAAAATTACAAACATGGCTGATGTGTGCGACCGACAGTTAAAGGGATAGTTCACTTTGAAATAAATTTTTGGTATGTTTTAGCTTACCTCAAGGGCATCCAAGATGTAGGTGTCTTTGTTTCCGCAGTAGTTTCAATTTTGATATTTTTAGGTCTAAACCGTTCTTGTCTGTCAGTGATATAATGCAGGTCTATGGTCACCACCTCAAAGAGCATGCACAGAGAAGTCCAAATTAAACATGATTTAATGACTCGTAAATGTAAGTACACATTGATGGCCTAAGACACGAAACGAGCGGTTTGTGTGAGAAAACGAACAGTATTTATATCGTTTTTACCTCTTGTAACCACAGCCACGTCCAAGTGATCTGAGGGCGCGGGCGCTTCGGTCTGCGCAAGCGCCGGAAGTGATCTCTCGCGCGTTTACGTCACTCATTGTTTACACAGAACAGAGATTGACGGCTAATTAAAATGGTACTAATTTGCGCTTATCCGGGATGTTTAAACCGTCGTAAAAGAAAACAATAAAAAAAAATAAAACAATTGTATGAGTGACGTACACACGCGAGAGATCACTTCCGGCGCTTGCCGGAAAAGACCGAAGCGCCCGCGCCCTCAGATCACTTGGACGTTGCTGTGGTTACAAGAGGTAAAAACGATATAAATGCATTATATGACTGACAGACAAGAACGGTTTGACCTAAAAATATCAAAACTGTGGAAACAAAGACACCTACATCTTGGATCCCCTTGAGGTAAGCTAAAACATACCAAAAATTAATTTCAAAGTGAACTATCCCTTTAAGTAGAGAGGTTTAGATAAACGGGTTTGAGTGAATAATAATCAACATTTAACCTGATAAAACAAATTATCTATGTTATATTTCAGTTGCAATAACAATGTGAACTTTTCTAAACATCCGTTTGGCCATTCACTTTTAAATGCATCTTTATACAAAAATATGAGGTGAGTTCTCCGCATGAAAGACCCACGACTGGCAGATCAACGCGCTACTTCTTTTCTCTTCAATTTGGTAGGAAATTAAATGTGGAGGATGTTAACTGTGGCAAGATGATTGACAGGCCAGTTTACGGCGACAGGATGTAACTATGCGACAGCGCATCCATTAAAAACTCAATTTTATGACATGATAGTGTGTCCAAAGCTTGTCTACTCTTCTGCTACACGCTCACAAAAAAGGACATACTTTTAGGGCATAGTATAAGTAGGTTCAGGCATTTTAGAATGATCACACATTTGAGATGCTGCGAAATGGGATTTATCAAGGGCATCAAGGGATTTATTTGAAGAGTTTGGTTCCAAAACGCGATAAACGCCATTTCTAAAAAACAAATTAGTTACTGCAAAAATCAGTATTGTATCTGGTTGGTATTGAAAAGTCAATGTTTAATTTTAAGTAAAATGCGATATCCGCCGTGTTATTCTGTCATGTTTTCTCCCTTTCTTTCCAAACCGCGACAAACGCCAGTCTCCCTTCTCTGCAGAATGGGATATATCCGCTCTCAACCAATCACAACGCACCATTCCACGCAATGTAAACAGTAACGGCAGCGCCTTAAATACACCCGGCTTCCTAGTTTTTCTTATCTATTTTGTACTTTTCGATCAACAAACAAACAAAAAAATGAATCATTTTGACGGCATTGATGAACCTGTGGTTGTTTCTGCGGTGGGTAAGAAACGTAAGACATCGAAATCGAATAATTTACGTGAGGAGATTAAGAAGATGAGGCACTCGGGAGGAGGAAAAATGTTTTAAATTTTCTTTACAGTTCTTAATAAAAATATTATACTAATAAACTTACATTGTTGTGTATTTTCAACAGTTTCAATATGAAAAAAAAAAAACTTTTATATTGATTCAATGGATTAATTGCATTTGGATTTTTTTTTTTTTAAATGGATTTATTGGATTTTGGGGAAAACAATATTCCGTTTTTATAATAAATCTTTGAAAATCAAAACCTGGATTTTTTTATTTTTTATTTTTTATTATGACCTACAAATGCTATGTGAAAGTTTGAAACAGAAAATAGTGGTTTTCATCTTTCCACTTTCTTGGTAAAGAAAACACATTTTTACTCAAATTAATCTAAATGGATTTATTGCGATTTGGAACCAAACTCTTCATTTGTAAATGTGTTTCTGTTGTAGTTTACGCGCATGTCGTCTTATCGGGTAAAAATTGATCCTCAATTGAGTGCATACGTTTTTTTATGTGCATCTTTGCATTTCCATCCAGTATTTTTCTTTTTGCGATATTACAAAATGCGCATAAAAATAGGTGGATTGAAACAGCTAGAAAAACCAAACTTTAAATCAATCCTCTTTTGTTTATGCGTTCCCTTTCAGGATTGGGCTGCTCAGAGGTGCACCATCTCATACAGAGCACCAGAGCTCTTTAATGTGGAGAGTCACTGTATCATTGATGAGAGAACAGATATTTGGGTAATTCTCTTTTATATGTGTTTTGTATGGGTGTAATAGGTACTTTTCAGCTGCTCTTTCACAAAACAACATGACTGTGTGTCTGCACAATGTTTGTAAACTTCATCCTTCATCTTTTCATCTCTGCTCTTTCTGATCATTTTGATGCCATGTCTATGTCAGTCTGTTATGTCTGGTGTCATGATGTTATGTCTATGCCAGTCTGTTATGTCTGGTGTCATGATGTTTTGTCTATGCCAGTCTGCTGTCATGATATTATGTCTGCTGTCGGTCTGTTATGTCTGCTCCAGGTATCATTTGTTTGTTTCTGCCTGTAGTCTCTAGGTTGTGTGCTGTACTGTATGATGATGCTGGAGGGACCGTATGACTTGATATTTCAGAAGGGTGACAGCGTGGCTCTCGCCGTCCAGAATCCAGTCTTTATTCCACAGCCTTGCAGGTGAGCTTGAGATTATTCAGTGCTATAATTCTGTAAAATTCAACTGCTTTGGACCTCATTGGAAGAGGCAGCTCATTACAATGCCAGATCAAATATTTTGTAGATGTTCGTCAATCAAATGTAATATATGTTGTAATATTGCATATTGTAATATTATATTTTAAATAATACTACTATACAATTATATTTTAAACTAATTTTCCCACATTGTGTAACTTAAATGTGGAATATTATTTTTTTTTTAAATAATATTATAGTATTACATTTTCAGCTTATTTTAATGTTTTTTTTTATATTATTGTTATATTATATTTTAAACTAATTTTGCCTCATTAACAAAATTATACATCAGAAATTGTGTAACTTACTTAATGTCTGCATTATCTTAATTTTAATTTTAAAATTAAAATTTGTTTTATTTCAAATATAATTTTTTCTATATATATATGTACGGGTGAAACTCGAAAAATTTCAATATCGTGTAAAAGTTCATTTATTTCAGTAATTCAACTTAAAAGGTGAAACTAATATATTATATAGACTCATTACATGCAAAGTGAGATATTTCAAGCCTTTATTTGTTATAATTTTGATGATTATGGCTTACAGCTATTTTGAATTTGGGGTTTTCATAAGCTGTTAGCCATAATCATTAAAATTATAACAAATAAAGGCTTGAAATATCTCACTTTGCATGTAATGAGTCTATATAATATATTAGTTTCACCTTTTAAGTTGAATTACTGAAATAAATGAACTTTTGCACGATATTCTAATTTTTCGAGTTTCACCTGTATATACAATTATAAATGTCTTTTAAACTAATTTTCCCACTTTACAAAAGTTTGCACACAAAAAATATGGACGTTTTGGAAAATATGTTTAAAATGATGTACACTCACAAGAGATTATGAAGACTAAGCTGTTTCAGATCATATTACCAGTCGAATACCAGTCAAATTCATTTCAGAAAACAGCTTGTTAAAGTTTTCTAATGGTAACATATTTTTAACATGTAACCGGAGAAAAGCTACCTGCAACCGGTTACCATGTCTCTTTCTTTGACACAGTTATTCTCAAGGCCTTCAAACCCTTCTCAGCTCCACTATGGTGACCAATCCTCAGGAAAGGCCCATAATCAGCTGGGTGCTTGACCAGGTCCAGAACCTTCGGGACTCAGACGGTACAGATGTAGATACCAACAGAGTATGATGCTTCCACTGAGATCTCATGCCTGTTTTCTAGTGGACTCTGGACTTTTTGGACTATGCACTCTCTCTTTCGGACAAAAATCACAAGCCTTGCAAACATTTGCTCTCTCTTACCTCAGTGAGCTCAGCATGCCATGGTTACACACGCATCTTTGTTGGTGAATCTCATATTTCACCTGAAAATCTATATTGAGCAATGAAATTATCAGATGATATTGGAGTGAAATTTGAGCTGTTCCTGATTTATGCCATGCAAACCACAAAGGAGAGGGCAAAAACTCTGTTCACTACGATGGCAGCGTTATCACAGGCACATAGCATCAAACCGGTTGTTTTCTGATTGTAATTTGGCTTCTCTGTCTTTTCTAAGCTTGGAACCAAAAATTATTTATGAGGGTTTTATAGAGTGATGCGGGGATGGCATCAAAACCTGGAAAAATTTGTCCGGTGGTTCCCTCAAGATTTTCCTATGGGGTTTTCAACTGTGAGTAAAATAAGGACTGTGGTAAACATAACTTGATGATACTTGGACATTTCGCGCTACAATGTAAATTACACACACCCATATCGAAAATGTGAATTTTGAAGCTGTTATGTTTATAATTTTTTTTTTTAAAAGTAACTAGATAAGAACATTTGGAGCGTGAGTGTATGCAGATTTACTTTGTAGAACAAAATGTCCAAGTATTGTTTAAATATATCTCATAAATTGAAAACCCCATTATAAAAACCCTTAGGATTTTATGGATTTCAAAACCCTTAGGGTTTTGATGTCATCCTTGGCACCACTCAATTGATATTTTAGCTGTTCAAAATGTAATTGACATTAGTTATTTAAACAACAGTTCTCCTGGTAAAGCAAGACATGCAAGAGCAGAGATTTAGGTACTTTGTGTTGTGAAGGTTCAAAGATAAAAACTGACATTGGTCTTTATTTGTGAGACACAACCAGAACGGATTTCTGTCTAAATCATTCTTATGTATGTTACTTGTAGCATTTAAAAAAACTGTTCTGCTCATGTTTAAGAATGAGTCTGTAAAAAATGAAAGAGCATAACTCAGTTGGTTATAGCGCTCGGCTTTTATAAGCAAGTGAAAGTGCTGTTCTGTAGAAGACTCTGAGAGGATGCATAACAAACGGTCATGCCTGTGAATATTTAATACTAGTTCACATTACATTGCAAGAATGATGTGTTCACTTTTCTCTTTTTAAGTGGTATAAATGACTGCATAAATACGAGTTTGTTTTGATTTAGCAAGAAGTTCCTTTCATTGCTTACAGTATTAGGGCGTTTTTTAAAGGAACCGTGTAATAAACAGGTTTTAATGCATTTTAATTCTGCAAGAAATCCACATGGCTATAGATAATTTCTGCATTCAGTCATTTGTTTATGTCTGATGAGGCGTAGCTAGTGTGGATGAATCTCGTGGAATCATTTCCAGGTCATATTTTATCTGCAATATCAACAGAAAGAAATCGGTATATATTTAGCATTAAAAAGATTAAAATGAAGCCTGTTTTTAGGACCTTTCTTTTTTTGGCATTATGTTCATATGACCTGAACATGTTCACATGATGTCATGAATCACATGCTGTTTCATAATTCAGGACTACATTTATTGAAGCATTCCATTTACTATAAATTGTAGTTGGAATTTTATCTGTGAAGAAGGACCTAAATATGTGTTTTTTATTTTTTCAGAAAAATTACCTTGATATTCAGATTCACTGCAGATTGCTTTGCGGTGGCTCTTATAATTTTGATTAGAATGTTGTTATGTTTTAAAGGAACATTTTTAACTTGCACTTGCAATTCTGTCCAGGTTTGTTTCTGTTGAGGAATACTTAATTATGCAAGCCTCTTAATTTATAGGATATAAGACTGGAGACATGTCTCTTGGCATTCATTTACGTCATCTGTTCCCTTTTTTATTTTCATTTTTTAATAAATTGTGAATAAAGTGTGATTTAAACAGCGACCGATGGAGTTGGTTTGGTTTTCCTGAAAGTTTCAGTATCACCACACGGGGGAGATGTTGCTCAAGTTGTGTTGTGATCTCTGACCAGTGTAGCAAACTGAAGACGGGGTTTGGTGAGTGTTAATTGACATTCTGTAATGTTTTTGTTCATTTTATATCTAGTGACGTAAACATATGTGTCTCTATGCCCAGAAAATGGTAATACCATGGTAATACCATAATACCATTGTTTTAGAATCTAATACAGTGTAATACTTCGATTCGAAGTAGGCCTACTACTGTAGTAACACTTTACAATACGGTTTCATTTGTTAACATTAGTTAATGTAGTCTACTAACTTGAACTAACCACGAGCAATACATTTGTTACTGTATTTTGTTCATCTTTATTAATGTTAGTTTACTTACAGCTGTAAGTATAAAATACAGCTGTTCGTTGCTTGTTCGTTACATTACAGTGCATTAACTAATGTAAACAAATACAACTTTTGATTTTAATAATGTATTAAATGTTGAAATCAACATTAACAAATATTAATAAATGCTGTAGAAGTGTATATCATTATTAGTTCATAAACGAATGTGGTTAACTAACTGTAAAGTGTTACGTGCCATGCATATGTTAAATAGCCATTCCTGCTGGGGAAAAACAAAACAAAAAAAACAAGCTAAAACCAGCCTAACCTGGTTTGAGCTGGTGTCCCAGGCTGGTTTTACCCATTAGAAAGTTTACCATGATAAACTATAGTACATACCATGGTATACCATAGTAGTACCATGGTACCTTCATGGTACATACCATTAGTACCTCAGATATTACCATGGTACCATGGTACATTGTATGGTACTGTAGCTCTATAGAGGGGTTTTGGACACTTTTTTAATTTTTTTTATCTGACTAGGTTGGTCGGTCTAAGCTGGGAGACAGCTAAAATCAGCTTAAACCAGCTTGGCCAGGCTGGAAGACCATCATAAACCAGCTACTACCAGCTTAGACCAGCCTTTTTTTCCCCAGCAGGGATTGTATTACCATCTGATGCATTAATTTACCACGGTATTTTCCACTGTAATTCTATGTTGGATATTTTTGTAATTAGTAAAAAAAAAAACTTAATTTTTGGAGAATAATTGTCTGCAAAGGAAGAGCTTCTCTGTATGGCATTTTCCTTAAACTGTGATGTATGATACATTTATAATATTAAATGGTTGCAACACTTAGGATTAGATAAAAAAGACACATGAAAATTTGAATGAATTGAGAATTATTAAAAAAACATTTCCAAAAACAAAACATTTTTGGAAAACAAAGCAGTCGTTTAATTTTTAAAAAAATGTACCTGTTCTTTTGACAGACCTTTTGTTTTCGACAAATTAATAAAAAATGTCTCCGCTACTGACCTGAGGAAAGCATCCAAAAATCTGTGAATGTTGGCCGCTTTGGCTCTGTAACAGTGTGGCATTTGAATGTTGTTTGTTTAGTGGCTGACCTTCACTCATCAAGGACCACCTACCAAAACCTCAACAAAAAGGTCTGGTCAAACCCCTATGGGGGGTATACGCTGCTACTCAAAGGTATGAAACAATTATTACAGGCTGTTTAGGCACCTGAATTTATGATTCACAGGGGCTGTGAGGGTCAAAAGTGACGTTCTGACTCAATGTTCATCTAAATAAATCTCATCAATGACCTTACGCCACCGACGGGGGAAAGAGAAGCCATAAACTGCATATGGACACACGCTCACCTAGACATCGCCACTACCAGACAGCCGACGTATAATGCACAGACATAGATACAGTTCCAGTGGGATGAATTACACTTTAATTAGCTTTTCCATCCATGCAAACCATTCCACTTTAAGTCCATTCGGCCTTCTCTGGATAATCATTCATTATACAGAAACAATGTTTATGGTCTGGGGAGCGTGTGGGACTGCCCTCCATTGGTCGGCCGTTTCTGCTTTCATGATCCCACAGGCTATGAGATGATGTCATGTTATAGTCCACATCAAGGTCACACGAAACCTACCTTTGTTTTGTCTGAGGCTAATATTTTTAAGTATGTTAATCAGCATCCCTGCTGAGAAAAAAAGATCTATACCTAATATTTAAAATGGTTACGGTTTGAATTTTGCAATGTTGTACCTGGATGAAGAATGAGAGTGTTCTCTTGAAAACCAAAATGTATACCGTATATATACACACATATTTATTTATACAAATATTCTGTATACACACACACACACACACACACATATATATATATATATATATATATATAGTATATATATTATTTAAATCAGCATTAATGAAAAAAGACATGTATAAGTGATTTACAATTTAAATATATCTGTATTTTTTGCATTATAATAATATTTTCTCACATTACATTAATGAGAATTGAGGGCAACAATTTCTTAATAATATATATGTATTTAAGCAATTGAAATTAAGCAATTGTTGGCCTCAATTCGCATTAATCCTCAATTCTCATTAAAACACACACAAAATAAGGATTTGGCCCCAGACAAGTTCCTGATAAGTTTCGTGATATTTTTTTCTCTCATTTTTTCCCCTAGTTCAATGGTTTAGGGAACATTCTATGATGTCAAACCCACATCCACCAGGTGGTAGTGCATTTTATTAACCATCTAATCCAGTTTAGACCAGACCATAAACGGCCAGCTAGAAACCATGTAAAACCAGCCACAACCTTAGACTGGTTTTATCGGGATTTTCCAGCAGGGGATGCCTTGGCCATTTTGGTAATTTACAAGACATGACTGCATTTTAAAAACAGGCTTTTTACATATTTTTTTTTTTTAACTAACAAAAGCCTATAGTAATTGCAAAAGTAATATTCATGCACACCTTGACAAAACCACTAATAAAAATTCATCTTTCTGGTTGCAACCAATTGGTCACAGAGTGCTATACCAACACCATAAACCATCTCCTGCTTTATTGATTTGGTGATGAATCAATTAGTGAATTATTGAATTAGCCAGGGATTATGGGTCAATGTTGAGTGCCTTTGATCCTCCAGTGTTTCTCTCGTTCAGTAAATCACAGATCTGCCATAAAGGGAAGGGGTTGGGAATACAGCTTAAACGCGTCACATTTAGTACAATTCTGTGGATATTGTAGTTGTTTGCCTACAAATGTTGCATTGATTGGACCATTTTTTTTTTATTGACACTATTTCTTTATAACATTCACAATCCGTTCTGTTTATTTCTAGGCTTGAATCTTGCTTTATTTGA